CCAACACATTTGCCTAATTATTTCCCTTGTTTCTCTGGTGGGCCAAGCAAACAGTTACCAGCCTGGATGACACTCCAGAATCCCAGACTGCATGCTGGTGAATACACAGAAACCTCCTGTTCAGCTCCCTTGATGTGCTGCTCTTAATGGCACTTCATTTAGCTGGGATTGAATCCTTCAGGCTGTAAATGGGACCCTCCTTTTGGGTATTGTGTCCTTGTCGCTGTATTGCTCCAATTTGCAGTTGCACTCATTCAGAGTTTTCATTGCTCCTTTTCTTCCAACAGCTTTCATTGAAATGCTGATAAAACGTGCCCTTTCTTAGGCTAAACCAGGATGTTTACAAGGGGAAAAACAACCCCAAACAACCACACTGCACATTAAACTCATTATTCTCTGGTCTTCAAGGAAGACTTTATTCTCCCTCTGGATTCCTAGGCTGTAATCTCACAGGACAGGGAGTGCCCTGCCATTTGCATCTCTTGAATGAGGTTTATAGGGGACTGGAAAAGAGACATTCCTGAGGGTGTCAGTGTCAAGTTGTGCATGCAAATAGCTCTTAACCCTCTCTGTGCTCTTCCCAAACCACTCTCTGCTGGGATTGCTGGCAGTCAGACCCTTGAGCCTCCACGCAGAGTATGGGGGAGATGAGTTCATTTCACCCGACAGGATTTGCTGAGGGCTGCATCTCCTCTGAAGAGAGTCAGTAGCTGTTTCTGATGCCGTGTGTTCTGTCTGTCTTCTGCTGACTGTGGTTGCTTTGCTCCTCGCTTGCACAAGTCAGCTGAAGTGAACTAGACTGCAAATATCGTCCCCAAACCTCCCCCAAGAGTCCTGATCTCTCTCTTGGTCTTGCAGCCCTTTCACCGTCAGTCCAGCCACGGGAACCCTCGACGTTGGTGAAGCCATGCAAGTGACAGTGGAATATCACCCGCGGGAGACCGGGCACCATTCCACATCCCTGGCAGTGCACTGTGACAGAGGTGAGTGCTGGGCACTGCACGGGGCACTCACCCTCCATCCTTCCCATTAGCAGAGCCCTTTCTAAGCAGAACAACTTAGACTTGCTCTGCAAACTACTTGTAGAACTGTTCCTTTCAAAGCCTCTGTGTGTTTCAGTGCTCAGAAGTGAGCAAAGAAGGGGCCAAGGCTGAGTCTGTCCCTGTCCTGGATGTGCTGTGTTGGTGTGTGCTGGTCCATCCCTGGGGGCACCCTGGTGTCAGCATGGGTCCATTCTCCATCCTGCACCCCCACCACAGTCCTCTACCAACTCCCCACTGTCCCAGCCACCTGAATTCCCCCTCCAGCAGCACCACCCTGTCCCAGCTTTACCGAAAAGTGAAAACTAGTTAGTGTTTAGGGGGTTGATAAAGTGGATAAAGCCCTCAAACAGGGATGAGATTTTTGGAATCCTGTTTTGCTGGGAGTTGCTGAGTGGAGGAAGGAGGAACCTTGGTTCTCCATTGCAGCGTGGATGTGCAGGGCTGAAGTTGTGTTCCTGGACAGTGCTGTCTGTGACATGTCAGCTTTCCATCCAACTCTCTCCAGTGCAATGTGTCTCTTGCTCACCTCTGTCCCCTAAGCTGCTTCTCTGTTGTCTTGCCACAGACCCCTTTTCTATGTTGCCCTCTACACATACATGTAATTTCTGTCTAAGAACATTTCCAGGCCCTCGGGTTCCTGTTGGATGACAAATCATGACAAATTGTCCCTTATTCCCATTTTCCAGGCCATTCATGCTCTCCAAACCTCTCCCATCTGTCTCCCATTCGATTTCTAGGTTGAGGAACCCCATTCAGTCTTCATGTAAAAGCTGCTCTGTGCTTTTAGTCTGTCTCTCTGCCCTTCTTTCTTTCATTTCAAATGTTTCAGCTTGGTGTTTGAGATCAGAATGATATCGAATATTTCTAGACTGATGTGGCCATGGGTTTGGACAGGGAGGGGATGATGGCTTTCATGGTGTTGATTTTCTAGTGCTTTGTCACATTGAATGTTGTAGAACATTGTGTCTTGTTTCCTCACCTTTGTTCCCTTCTGCCGTGGGCTTCACTTCCCTTGCTCCCCTGGGCCTCCCTCTCTTCACACCTGCCCCCAGGAATCTTTGCTTGGCAGCAACAAGGGATTGGGAGAGGCAGGAGTCTCGTGGGGTGCCTTCAGGAGCCCCTGGGCTGTGACTGAGTGGGGCTCCTTAGAGTCACCTGAATGAATTTGATGCAGAATTGCCTGGGATCTGAGTGGGTCACCTGAGCACACCTGACAAATCTCACTGTAAATACTGTCACCCGGGGACAAATGTCTACAAACACACCAGAAATAAGGTGCTTAAGGTGGTGTCCAGGACATCCTCACACTGTACCCACGGAGCTGCTGGGATTTGATAAATGTACTGATCCGTGGAATTACTTATCCAGCTAAAAACTGGACACTTTCTTCTGTTACCTGTGGTTTGCTCTGCTCCTTGTAATTCCATCAGCGAGGGAGCTGAGCAAAGACTCCTCTTTGCTTTGTTCCAGGTGAAGATACCCACACCAGACTTCTTGGGAAAGCTAAGGACTTCAACATCGGGCTGGACCCGTACTCTTTGGAACTTGGCAAGACTTACCTCACCCTGTCCAGCCACAGAACCATGGCCATCCACAACAGAAGCAACATCACAGCCCGGTTCCAGTGGAAGGCTTTTGCTACTGAGGCAGAGGAGTATCCGCAGAAGATCAGGTTGGTCTGAAAGATGCAGTGACATACAGTGACATACACTGCCCGAGGGTAAAACTAACGCATGGCCTCAGGGGGTGCTTGTGCTTTTGAGTGCTTTAGGGTATTAGGAACAAGTAGGTGTTCCTGCAAAGTTTGCAGGGCAGTCACAGCTCGCAGTAAGAAGCCACAAAGTTGTTCAGTTGTTCAGTTGTCAGTTTGGGAGAGGGGCAGTTTGCCCAGAGACAGGGGAACCAACCAGCAGCACGGGAGGATCATGTGGCCCTGTCCTCCCTTTTGAAGTGCTGTGGCCTCCACCTTGAACCATGTCAGTGACCTCCAGAGCCACCTACTGAGCACATAATGGGGGACACAGAGTAGGCCTGCCGGGAAGCCTGTAACTCCAGAGTATCCCAGCCAATGGAGAAATGGGGGGAACCTGTGCTCCGGCAAAGGGGATAAAAGAAGCTGCAACCTCCACTGAGTTGAGACCTCACTGAGGTCTGTTCAGTGAACTCTCCCATTTATTAGAATAAAGATTTATTTTTTTAGTGAGCTCCTCTGTCTCCTGGCCATTTATGTGAGTTACTTCTGTACAGTCCCTCATTAGCGTGGGGGGCGAGAGTGGCAGTGGTTTTGCCATTCCACGTGCTCAGGTCTTAGTTCAGTGGTTGTCAGGGGTCCACTCTGGGGGTCCTCTGAGGCGAGTGCCCCCTAAATCAATCGTCCTATTTGTGACCCTGCTTCTTGCACTCGGGCAGGTATTCACTTGTTTTATAACACAAGCCAGTGGAAGTTGGGGCTGCAAAGTATCAGGGCCTTCTGGCACATCATGGGGAAATTACTGTCTGTTGATGGAGGTTGAGCAGAGTGTTGCCATCTCGGTGACTGGGAGCCCTCCTCATGCCCAGCACTGCAGGTCAGCCCTGGAGAAACATTTCTGAATGCGCTGTGCAGGGAGCCAGCCATAGGCAGTATTTTTGGTGCAGGGAGCCAGCCATAGCCAGTATTTTTGGTGCAGGGAGCCAGCCATAGCCAGTATATTTGGTGCAGGGAGCCAGCCATAGCCAGTATTTTTGGGGCAGGGAGCCAGCCATAGGCAGTATTTTTGGGGCAGGGAGCCAGCCATAGCCAGTATTTTTGGTGCCAGTGACAGTGTTTGCCCAAGGCTCTGTCTGTGTGCAGCTGGTAATATCCATGACTGTACTTCCTTTCTAACAGTGTTTGAATTTGGCTGGGTGAGGATGCTGTCCTGTTTATACTCCACTGCCTCAGTTTGCTCCCTATGGAGCCTTCTACTTGTCCCCCCACCTGCAGGTTCCTCACAGCCAGGGGACTGGAGTCTGAGGGGGGAACAGTGATCTGCCAGCTGGGAAGCAGCTGTTCCTTTCTCATCTCTTGGTTGTGATCTTAAAACACTAGAATGATTTCTGCTGCAGCTACCAAGTAATGGAGAGATTAACTGTGCCAAAGGTCTGCAGAGAAGGCCAAAAGGAGGAAAAAAAGAAGGTGGTTCAAGGCTAGATGTCCCCCTCTCAGGGCCTCTGTTTTCATGCCCACAAAACCTTTAATGTCACTGAAGAGATGCCACGCCTGAATTCATCAACTGGCTCTGAAAGTGCTCTGGGATGCTCTGGTGGAAGGCAGTGTAGGGAACAGCGCACACAGGGTCAGCTTATCCCTGCAGGTCCAGAAGGGAAGAAACCAAGAGGGGTGCTGGTAACCTGCAGCTGAGAGCCAGCTTCTTCTCCCCTTGCCAGGGAAGCCCTGCAGGCAGTGGGGGGGCTCCTTGATCTTTATCTGCCTCCCCCAAGCAGCTCTGGGGTAGGAAGAGTCAGTTGAGATCACTGGTGGGTTCTCCCTCAGTTTTGGCAGTGGCTCTGAGCCAGGAGGTTCTCTTGAGGGCTGCTGGCTTTCAAAACCTCTCCTGAGCTTGTCAGTGTGGAGTAAAAGCACCTGCCCTGCGAGCGAACAACGAGTGATCCTCTCAGCCCTGTGGGACCCCGTGGCTCGGGCTCAGCCCCTTTGCTGTGGAGCTGCTGCTGCTCCTCCCTGAGCACTTTGCTGCTTCTGCACTTACACTCAGCTCTGCAAATCAGTGGCTTATTAAATGACCTGCTGCCTTTGTTTCTCCCTGTGGCTGCAGGCTGTGTCACAATCTGTCTCAGCGCTATGAGGAGCTTGACCTTTACCACCGCGAGTTGGAGAAGGAGACAGCAAAGATTGAGGCAGACCCCATGCTGTTCTCAGATGACGTTTTCACCATTGAGCCCTTGGTAAGTGATAGCTGAGAACCTCCTCCCCCTCCCTGAATGAGGTCACTGGGCAGATCCCCACCTCAGCTGGCTTGATGTGCCCCGAGAGAAGACATGGGGTTTCTGGTGAGGCTGGAGAGCTTGTTGCAAAAAGCATTGCGACCCTGTGGGCTCCTGGCAGGCAGCAGGAACCTGCCTAAAGCTGAGCTCTGCTGCAAGGGCTCGACGTCAAGGGAGCTTGGTGCGTGTCCTTGCAGTGCCCAGAGGGGTCGGTTACTGTAGGAAGGGGCACAACTTACACATGATGTGTGGGGCTTCCCAGAGGGTGTTGGAGCACTGTCAGTTCACAGACTGACCTGAAGTGAAAAGGAGGCCAAATTCAGCCCAAGGTCATGGAAATGCCAATCCCTCCCTGTAACCAGGACTTACAGCATGTGTGAGTCTCCCTTCCAGTGTCATCTGGGAGCCTGGACACAAGACTTGGAAATGGACTTTTTGAGTTCTATTGCACACAGGGACAGAAAATCTTTTCCTGTTTATGCAAGCAAACCCCCATGTCCTTCCATCAACCAGAGCCCTGACTATGAGTATTGGCACATGTGAGATGAGGAATCCCTGCTGTCTGTGCAGTGCAAAATCCCTCCTCGTCTTGGAGTAAACCCTACAATAATCTCAGCCTCTGCTTTCTTTTAAAATGAGTTAAACTAAGTTTTTCCTTTCCAAGGAAGGGGATCATGTTCTCTTCTTGGTTACTCCTATCGCCCATCTAAGGCCAAGAGCCACCAGTGTCAGCACAACAGCAGGAGGATGTGACCAAGAGCTTGTGTCAGAGCAGTAGGAATGTTGTAGTGTGGGAGCTGATCAGCTGAGCATTGAGAGCATCCTGGGGTTGTGTTGAGCTGGTTAGGGAGTGTTTCCTCGGGCTCTTTGCGTTGTTCACTCCTTCCTCTAAGTAAAGGCTTACAGGTTGAAAAGAAGAAATGTGATACTGGAAGGGAAATGGTTTGCTGTCTCTTTCTGTTTTAGGAGGGAGAGGTTGGGCCACATTGTTCAGCTGAAATCAAGGTGTTATTTAAACCCCGAGAAGCCCAAGTCTACAGAAAAGTGGCCTACTGTTCCATCTCAGGTACAGCTCCTTCTCCTCTTTCTCTCACCCACAGTGAGGGGGAGGTGCAAATACTCTTGCAGCCCACTGGGCTCCCGTGGAAGTGCTGGGAAGGGTCCAAGGTCAGCAGGGCAGTGCTGGCTCATGTCCACTGTCCCTGCGGCTTCCTGGTGGTCTCCCATGCAAGGCCAGGGCTCAGGACACTGATTCCAGAACAATCCAAGCAGTGCATGGATAAGCTCTCATGCCCTGGGTTTGCCAGTATTTCCTCAAAGGCCAAAGAGCTACACAGCAGAACAGCTTTAGGGCACGGGCACCAAGCCCCTCTAGAGCACTGACCTCCAGGATGGCTCCTCATTGCATGGATCCATCATCAGGCAGTAGGAGCTGAGGTAGAAATGTGCTCCCTGAGCCCGGATCACCTCCCACTGCCCAGACAACAGCAGACCAGAGGTGACTGAGCCCTGCTGAGCCCAGGCTGTCTGCAGAAGGACCACCCCTGGCCAGCACCTGCTTCTCTCCCTGCGTGGCAATTGTCACCTTCTGGCTCTCAGGCTGAGGTGTGTCCAGGTGGTGGCCACTGGGCTTGCTGTGCTCAGCTCCCAGGAGTGCTGTCAGGTCCTTTTCTGGGAGCAGTTATCATTGCCCCCCCACCCCGAGTCACCCCTCACAGAGGTGGTGGCTTTGTTGTGCCCACACAGGGCAGGGAACACTCTCAGAGCACAGCGTGGTTCGAGTTCCCCTGTCCTTCTTTTGTATATCTAACCTAAATTTACCCTCTAGCCATTTGTCCCCATTACTCCTTGTCCTATCACTACAGAAATAATGTTTTAAACTCGGCATCGCTTTTTCAGGGTGCAAACTGGTGGCTAAATGGGAAACGAGCCCAAGGGGTGGGTTAGAAATTGGAAGCCAGCCCCAAGGCATATCTCCTGAGGGAAGAGAAGGGTCCATCTCTTCCCCTGGAGCATCAGGAGCTGGTCTCACCCATCTCGGAGTCAGGGACTAGGACTGAGGCAGCCTGGAAAAAGCAGGATAAGTGAGTAAGAATTACTCTACTGAAATGGAAATCTCTCCCCAGGCCGTGAGACCAGGCTGCTCCTGCGCCTCACAGGGGAAGGCCTCGGGCCCTGCCTCCAACTCAGCTCTGAGGAACTGGACATGGGGAAAGTTTTGGTTGGAGAAGCCTACAGCTATGAGGTGAGCAGCAGGGGCTGGGGTGGATCCCGATGGCTCCTGGGGCAGAGGGGAGCCTGGTGGACCTGTGGAATTTCTGGCAACTTGGGCAGTTGTGAGCAGGGAATATTTGACATACTAGTCAAATCTGGGGGGTTTCACAGAATCTGGATCCTTTTCCGGGGTCTGAAAGGTGTTGTCTGTTGTTCATGAAGCCCCAATTCCTGCTTTTTGGCAACCTCCCTTGGAGGTCAGCTGGGATGCTTTCTGCCAAACAACCCCTCAACACATGAAAGCAACACTGGGTCAAAAAGCTGAAGTGTTCAGAGGCTTCTGTTCCAGCCTCAGACTCAGGGCACCTTTGTGCTCGGGCTGTTCAAGAGCAGCTGGAACAAACTGGCTGCATTTGAGCTCGAGTCCACTGCAAGAGAGAGCAACTGGAAAAGGTGGAAAATGAGGCACTGCATCATGCCAGACACTTCCAAAAGCTTTGCCATGGCAGGAAAGGACACACTGAGTTGTTTTCTTACCAAAAGATTGTGCTCTCTCTGCATTTTTGATGCCGATACTTTATTGTTTCTCACTATCGATATACTGATTTCATTACATGAGAAAAGGTGAGTGAGTAGATGATACTGTTAGTGCTGTCCTAAGCAGCTACGCTGCAGGTAAACCTCAGCTCAGCATGGGATCCCCAAGTGCAATTTGTAACACAGGTAACACACGAGAGGAGAGTAGTTTTCAAGTTTCAAGGCAGAGGCTGAATACGGGAATATTTTCAACAGCAACTGCAAAGCTACAAAATGAGGGACATCCCTCTGCTTCTGCCTCAACTGTTCTGACAGGTTTTGCCAGGCTAACAACTGGGGAAAGAATTCCAAAGCAGATGGATAAGTCCATGGCAATGGCAGGGTTTCCCCTTGGCTGTGTAGAGATGTGAGAGAGCAACTCTTTAGAATAGGTGGAGCTGCTGTGCACCTCACATTCATCCTTTCTGGACATGTCTAGCTGAGCAAGGTCTAAGAAACTATCAGATTAAATGAAAAATACAATAACCCAACCGATCTACCCTAGCAGAGCTGGGGAGAGCTTCTGAAGTTGCTGATAGCACCGTTCTGAGGTGTCTTCTGCACGCAATAAACTGGTTGGCTGCCATGGAAGCTGCATGTGTGCTGCCCTTGGACGGGTCAGGCACCCCTGGAGCAGCAGCAGCTCTGTGGGGATTCCCTGCGTGGCTGCAATTGCCCCACGTTGCTCCTCAGGCCGGGTCTGAATGAACTTGGCGATGGTGGCCAGGAGTGACCTGCTCCGTGTCCCTGGGATAACCCAGGAGTGACTCTGCTTGTGTGAAGTTATCGCTGCTTTGCATGAAAACCCAAAGGCAGAACTTGTCTCCTGTTGTACTTTTTTGGCTTCTGCCACGTAGCAGCACACGGCATCTTCTGCCTTTCCAGGGGTTAATGGTTTCTTAGAAAGCGACTCAGCCTTCTGTAAGAAAGGAAGGTTGCTCATGTATTTCCATTTTGCTTTCTTGCTGCTGCAGGCAATGCTGGTTAACAAAGGAGCTATTGATGCTCCCTTTGAGCTCATCCCTCCAACCACAGCCCACGGCTCCTGCTTCACCTTTCTGCCCCAGCAGGGCATCATTCCACCCAACGGGCTCCAGCCCATCCAGATCTCCTTCAGTTCCACCACCCTGGGGGAGTTCGAGGAAGAATTCCATTTCAATGTGACGGAATCCCCTAAGCCTGTGACCTTGACTATCAGGTGAGGAGGGCTCTGGGAGCTTGGTGGGCACGTCTGTAGCTGTCTCTGGGTAATCACCTCTCACCTGCCTCATTTGGTGGTGGAGCAGAGAAAAAAGGTGTTGCCCGAGGTCTTAGTCTTGGCTCTGATGTTGGCATCCCCTCAGTGTGGGGATGCCTTCTGCCCAGTGCAGGTACCCAGGAGCTGGAGTGACTCCTTCCTGCAGGGACCTCCCTCCGCCTTGGCAGGCAGTGGGAAGGCATCAGCTTTGGACAGTTGCTGGTCTGGGATGTCCCCTCTGAACACCCAGCATGGCCCCCAGGGCTTTGGAGATGGGCCAGCCTGGGTGACTCTGCAGCCAGAAGAAGTGGTTCTAAAATCCTCTGTTAATGGTCCCTGCCAAAGGGGCAGCAGCAGCCTCACATCATCCCTGGTGCCCGTGCACGGGCACAGGCCGTGCTCCCAGCTCCTGTGCAGGGAGTGCTCTGGGACCTCCTTTCCACAGCAGGAGGGGACTGGGGTGGGAGACGGGGAGCTCTGCAGCAGCAGGGGCTGTCACAAGGACTTGGGCATCATCCCATGGGCTGGTGCCATTGCAAAAGATAATCCTCGCCCAGCCAAGGGGAGAAGGGGTGATGAAGGAGAGGCAAAGCTCCCTCCTCAGCAGCACAGCAGCACGAGGGCTTGTCCCAGCTAGTCTGAACCACGGGCTGATGGGGTAGTGTGGTGGAGGCAGGAAAGCTGATGCTGGGAGCTCTGGAGCTTTATAGGTGGCTGTGTCTGGGCCGCTGTTGGGAGGCCCTGAATCAAGGTAGGAAAGAAACAAAAGGAATCTGCAGTCCATTTTACCAAGAACATCAGGGAAATGGATAAAACATAACAAAAAGGTTATTACTTTGCAAGAGAAAAGTAGTGAGTCGGCCTTTCTCCTAAGGCAAGGGCACAGAGCCATCTCTGGGTGTGTGTACAGGGGCCTCCATGGGGCCAGCAGCACCTCGGGGGCACGCCCTGCCTGCCGTGGTGCCCTGAGCCCCATCAGCAGCTGTGGGCTGCTGACCCCTTGGCTTCGGCCGCCTCCTGTGCCCACGGACGCCGTGCTGAGCACAGGGTGCGGGGCTGGTTCCACACCCACGGGGCTCTGACACCAGCTCTGACCCCCCTGAGCCGGAAGGACGGCCAAAGGCTTTGCAGTTCCCTTTAACCAAGCCGTTGCCTCCTCTGTCCTCGTCCTCGCAGGGGCCACGTCACCGGACTGAGCCTGCATTTCAGCACAGGTGGCCTTGACTTCAATGACGTCTCCTTTGGTGAGTGTTCCCTGGGCTTGGATGCAGCAGGAGGGATCTGTGCCTTGCCAAAATGGAGCACTTGAACAGAAGAGCATCTGTCACTCGTGCCCTTCCATGGCAGCCTGCAGGGTGTTAACTCCAGGGCTGCTGATGGCATTTTGCCATCGTGAGATCCGAAAGGACCAAAGGAATAGAAAGTCAGTATTTTCTGGTGTCCCTCGTAGTCTCTTCTGCTCCAATCTCCCAGTCCTTGGCAGCAGAACGACCGTAAAAGTCCTCGTCCCAGGAGGGCCCAGGGATGGGACTGCAGGAGAAGGGAGCTTAAGCCATGTACCTTTAGTGTGGGATGTTAATTAGTGGTGTGAGGGCACCTCATTATCCCTGAGCAGGTGGGAAGCCATGGGCTTCTTCTTCTTCCCCAGCAGAAGCCCAGCTCTGCTGACAGAGCTTTTGGCTGAACATCCAGAGCGTCACCATTGAAATGCAGGTTCTGGTTCTCCATCTCAGGCTCACAAAAGGCTTTCTACTGAGATGATCTGCAGTTTAAATGTGAAATCAGTCATGGATTGACTGAAGGGCCATTATCATTCTGCACCCAGGATGCCTCTGTGTTTTCATGCAGTTCATGGACTTTTCAAGAAAACTCATTACCTTTCCTGAGCTGCTTCCTCCCTTCCCTCTATCACTGCTGAACCCCTTCTTAGTTTTCTTCTGAATAAATGAAACAACAAGAAAGGCAGCAGGCACAAATATGGTTCTGTTAGAGGAGATTCATCCTGTTTCCTCCGATTTCATTCCTAAGACCTCTTCAGCTGAAGGCAGCTGTTGTATCTTTGCTTCTTTTAACTGTGCTGCTGGCTGTTGTCTGCATCTGGTGACCTTGGTTTCATTCCGGACTGGGACACCTGTGTTTGTCCTTTTTGTGCCCCTCCTGCCTCCCTGCTGGAGTCACTGCTGGAGCTGGGCAGTGTCACTGTTGATGGGCACAGAGAAGCTCCCTGCTGTGCCTGCAGTTGGTTTTCCTCCCCATTGGGTTCAAATGGTGCTTGGTAAGCAGGCCCTGGGAGATGTCTCCTCCCCACAGAGCTGGCCAGCCAAGGCACCTGTGCACTGCAGAGCAGGCTGTGGGCTGGTGTCCTGGCTCTGCAGGACATCCCCACCAGGTGTGGCTGTATCCCTGGCTTTCCGTTATGGGAAACAAGTCTCACAGCTAAGGTGGTGTCAACTCTTGTGGGCAGCAATGCCAGCCAGTGTGCAGTGTGGCTTGATGTCCCCATTTGTTGGAAAAGGTGAGACATGGTTCCTAATCACTGCTCTCAGAGCAAGCCTCGGGTTTGCCTCCAGTGAAGTGGGCTGTGAGTTGTCCGTGCTCAGTCTGGTTACCCCAAGCCAGGAGATACCTTAAGGATCCTGCCTAAAGAAACTGCATTGGGGTGCTTTGCATCATGTTCCAGTTCCCCATTCCATCCTCCATTTCTTTTGCTGTAGCTTCTCCCCAATGACAACTCAGTGCTTTAATATCTTGAAAATGGTGAGAGTGTTGACAGCGTTAACAGGGAATTTTATGGCTTGAATTTTCAGAGTAAATGGTCAGTCTGGATGCACACTCATCAGTGTGTGGAAATAATTGATGGTGCTGGTTTGGGGCAGTTAGAGAGAGAGAAACTTGTGGTGTTCAGCAGGGCTAAGAGTGGGCATTTCCAAGGCAGCAACCTGGGATCAGTGTCCAAGTGACGATTCACTGCTCGCTGAGCTGCTCCATGAGCTGTCATTCAGATAACAAAGAGCTAAACTCCAAGCACAGTTTCATCCTGCCAGGATATTCACACCAGAAATCACGAGAAGCTTGGTGCCTACATGGCCATTTGTGTCATTTTCCTAGGCTTTCCTCAGACCTTGTCGTGCCGCCTGATCAACACCTCCGTGGTGCCCATCACCTTCCACCTTCGCATCCCTGAGGATGGCCAGGGACAGCCCAGCCTTAGGAGCTTTGATCAAGTGAAAGACAACGCTCACCCCTGCTGGGAAAAAGGCACACTGGCTCCATGTCAGGAGAAGCCAAGGGAATTCAGCATAACACCCCGCACAGGGACCATCCCTTCCCAGGGATCCCGGGAGATCAGGGTATGGGAGCGGTCTGGCCACACGTGGGTCAGGAGGTGGGGCTGAAGCCTCACTGGGCTGTGGGAGGGCTTTAGTGCTGCCGGCTCTCAGCCTGTGCAGGGGGGGATGTGCACTGGTGTGGGAGCTGGGTTACGTGGAATGTTCCTGAAGGAGCACCATTGTGTCTCCAAAACCATAAGCTGGGATCACGTGGTCAACAGAAGCCATTTGTGTGTTGTTTTTGAGCGTGACTTCTTTGACTGAGAACAGGCAGAGGAAGGATGAGGACAGAAGGTGGCTGTTGCAGAGATGCCACTATAAAGCAGTTTGCTTTTCTTCCCGGTCTCATTTCTCCTCTCCCGGGGAGCAGAATGAGTTGTGGTCACTGCAGGGATCCTCAGTGAGGAAAGAAAAGCTCGGCAGCCATGAACTGCCCAGCATCTGCAGGAGCACACTTTGCCCTCAGCTTCCTGCTGAAAAGCTGAACTCATTCTGTCCAAGTCAACACATTTCCTTTGCATTTATGTTATTGCAGTCAAATGAAAAATGGGCCCCTAATTTGAAGACAGTAGTGAGTAGAGCTTTAGCCTCATTATACATGATTATGTATAATGCTTTAATTTAGCCACCTGTGCCCTGACAGCTGCAAGGTGTGTTTAACAAATTCAGTATTGCCAGAAGGCTTATGTTACTCCCAGAGACTGTGCTCTACACATGGGCCAGCAGAAGAATTAAGGCAAAATCCTCCCTTCCCTTACTGCGAAACAAGAACCGGAGGAGACCACACGTGGGTAATGAGCTTTTGGGAGAAGGGAAGTATTTGCTGCTCTTCTCTTCCACCAGGTCACGCTGTGTTCCAATGACGTGGGGCGATACAACTGTGATATGGTGGTGGACGTGGATGGTTTTGGCAAGGAGGTGTTGGCTCTGCACCTCAAAGCCAGGTACCAGTGCTCTCCTTGCAGCTGCTCGTCCTTCCCCGTGCACCTGCCACCAGCACAGTGCCTTGCTCGGGGTTTGCTGGCTGCAGCTCCAGGAGAAGGCTTGCTTAAGAAGCTGGTTCTGCCCAGCTAGGTAGGAGAACAGCAGTGCTTGGAAAGCAGTCTGTGCTGAGAAGCACCCCTGCTCACAGCCAGGCATGGCCCTGGGCCTTCTTCTCTGGGGAACAGGAATGACATTATTTATTGGCCTGGCTTTTGCTGCTTGAGGAGTAAAAAATTCCCAAGGTCCTCCTGTCCTCCTTCCTGCAAGAGGTGGGCTGGTGCTGGGTTCCAACCACACTGCAGCATTGGTCTGGGACACAGTGAGCAGCCTGCTGAGAGCTGGGGTCTGGCTCAGTTAAGGAGGGCCCATGGCAATGGGAAAGGGGCTCATGGCAGGAGTGGGAGGGGAAAGTAGTCCTTGATGTGGCAGGTGGGCTCAGGTTTCCCTGCTTCCCTCTGGCTCTTTTGAGCATTAACGTTCTCAGACTTAACGCAGACGTTGTTGCTGCAGCCAAATTCCCTCCTGTGGTGCTGCTGTGGGTGTCAGTTCAATGACAAGAGGGATGCAGTTCCCTGGTGCTGTTCCCTCTCCCAGGCAGAGCCGTTCAGTCGGTGCCTGGGCTGCAGTTTTGTAACACAGGCGCCAACGGGGACAGACCTGGGACCCGTGGGGTGCAGCAGCAAGGGAGCTGCAGGAACTGGGAGGATGATCACCCACTCCCTAGGGCAGGGGGTGGCTTGTGCCCTCAGCACTGGGCAAACGGCTGAGTTCTCTGGCAGGGCAACAGCACCCTGGGAGAGAAGGGAGTTGTTTTTCCTGAGACACTGGAGTCTTGTGTTCCTTGAGCCTTGGTGAGCACTGACCCTCAATGGGAAGGCTCCCCCAGAGCTCACGGCTCGCTGGGCCTGTTGGGGGAGTCCTTGCAAGCCTCCTTGGGCAAAGGAGGGGCTGAGGCAGCTGTGGGACAAGGTCTGTGCTCTGCCCGGGCACTTGGCAGCCTCTGCAGTGCTGAGTCTCAGGGTTTGCCCCTCCTTGACAAGACATGTTTGAGTGGAAAGACGTGAAAGGTGATTTATCTCTGGAGGGGTATTAAACGTCTGTTGGACAGTGACAAATGTCTAATGCTCCATTGCATGCTCTGCGGGGTGAACGCTCTCCATTCTCTCAGTCTCTCTCATTCCCTCGGGGTCATCTCTTTGCCCAGATGTGTTGTTCCTGAGCTGCGTTTGCTCACCTCCACCCTCGACTGTGGACCGTGCTCTGCAAAGGTCCCTTGCCAGAAGACGCTGACCCTTGTGAACCCGAGCCCCCTTCCAGGATGCTACAGAGTTCTCCCTCAGGTTTGGCATCTCATCCACCTCCTCCTCTCAAATACTGCTGAGGGGTTTATTAGGGACAAATGGGGTTTGGATAAGACCTTGCTGGTTTCTACTGAGACTTAAAGATGTGCTGAGAACAGGATTCTACCTGAATGTCAACTTTAGGAAGCAGCTAAATAGGAACCTGCCTGAATATCAACTTCAGGAAGCATTTGAACCTCTTCAGGAAGCAGTTTATATTCTAGTGTTTGGGGTGTTTTCTTGTGAGAGCTCTTAGAAGGTTGTGAAAAGCTGCTGCAAGGAGGCTGCCAGCACAGGAGTGGGTGTCTGTGGATGCAGCAACTGTTGGACCCTCTGAGGATGCTAATCTCCCCAACAATTCTTGCATCTTTTTTCGTGCCTTTCAGCTTTTTCCTGGGGATTTTTAAAAATTGTGTGTGAGTTGCCGTTGTGGTAGATGTGAAGGAGTTTAAAGTTTCCTCAAAGGTCCCTCTGAAGTTGCACTTGATTCTGTCCCTCTAGAGAGACCGAGAGGCCGCTGCTCTGTGGTACTCCAGCCCCAAGCCGTGTGGGATCATCCAGGGTCACGACGAGGTGGAGATCCCAATTACAGTTGAAGCCCAGGCGGTGGGTGCTCATTCCATCCTGGCGGATATCGCCGTGTTCGGGAAGGAGAGATCCCCACTGGTGAGTGCCAGGGGATGCATGTGCCTTTGTGCAGCTCATCCTGGGGGGGTGGAGTGTACAGGGATTCTTCCAGGGAAAGCAGGGACTTGTCGTATGTGGCTGGTGTGGACAAGGACAGAAGGCATTAGTGGCAGAAGCAGTTTATGCTGGAAAAGAGGAAGAGTGGAGTCCTCCTAGGGGGTAATCTCAGCATATGGTTCATCTAAGCTGAAATCAAGGATCATTTTATTTAATTAATCTTCCATTTTAAATACTGGTAACTGTGGAAACACCTCTTTTAAAATGTCATCTCTCTGAACACAAAGGGAGGATTTCTGGGAACCTTCAGCTTTCTGTGTCAGAAAGGAAGGCTGATGTTTGAAAAGTGGTCGCAGGGAATTAAACTTATATTCAAGCAAATGGAAATGATGATGATGCCAAATCCCCTGGATGGCACCGAACATCTCAGGCCGGGCCATTGCCATTGTGCACTTAAACCAGTCAACAGGAAGGCCGGGCAGTGCAGGCTGTGCAGGGGAGCCTGACTTTTAACAAAGCACTTGCTCGTAACTATCAGGCTGCTTCCCTTAAAGAGCAGGGTTTCTCCCCACCAGAATAACCAGCTGTTTAACTGCCAGACTATTTTTAACTACAGATTTCCTGCAAAACCTTTACGTTTGGGCCAACAGTTTACAGTTTGAAAGTTTCCCAGACTTTAATCTTTTTTAATTTGGAGGGGAAGATGTCAAATGTTTGCCTAAAAGTCCAGCATTTCAACTGGAGTATCATATCTGTCCCTGCAGAAATTACTTGAGTGCGATTGAGCTGTTTAAGCTTTCTTAACTTTCCCTGTTGTGTGGGTTTGTTTTTTTTTAAATCTCTCTTACCTGCTCCCTGGAACAGCAGCTGCATTTAATGTGCACTGGAAAGACGCCGCTTGTCTACGCAAGTGTGAATAAGATAAACTTCGGCAAGATCCGAGCCATACAGGACACTTGCCAAACTCTCCAGCTGTGCAATCAGGGGCTCATCCCTGCAGCCTTCAGAGCAGAGATCGTAAGTGTCTGTGGGGCTGTTTTCCAGGGAAACTCCCTGGTCAGCAGGAGCCCAGGACTTGGATTTTATATGTGAGGTTTCAGAATTGCCCTGTGGGAGAGAGGAGGCAAGAGATTCCACCCGAGGCAAGAGGAGCCTGGCTCTGCAGGTGGTTTTAGCTGGCACAACCTTCAGTGAAACAGTTTGCAGAGTTGTAGGAGCAGAAGCGAGTCTGGATTGTGGTTACAAGTTCTCCCTTTATTTTGGGGAAGGTATTTAGTGGTGCAAGTCACGTTTTTGGAGCTCTGAGATGAAGAGGAGCCTGTGGCCCTTTGCTCCTGAGAGGGCAAGGATTTCCCCGTGGTTTCCTCATACCATCTACATTTGCTTTGTGCCAAACTGCTGTTAATGGCAGAGACCAGGGTGTGAGGTCTGTCCTCAAGCTCCAGGTGGGGAGTTTCCCCCTCCTGGGGGTGAGAGCAGAGCTGGTGCAGCCAGCAGGGCTGGGCTGGCTGGGATGTGCTCCCCGCTGCAGGGGTGGCTGTGAGGGGCTTGGAAACAGGCTTGGGAGGAGGTTTGTTCTCCGTGCTGAGTGGGCTGGACTGCTGGAGCTGGCTGAAAGCAGCCCCGACACGGTGGGCATGGTTGTGTCTGTGCATAAAGCATCAGGCAGTGGGGGAGAGTCCAGGCTCAGCCTCCTGGGCCAAGGAGGAGGAGGAGAGTGAGTTTTCCACTTGCTGCTTTCCCAGGTGTCTGAGGAGGAAACGTTACCTCCAAGTGCGGGATTTCCAGGGCAGCTTTCTTCAACTCCACAGTGAAGTTCTGCTCTCCACCCCTGCAGAGAGCAAGCCACCTCGGATGGGTGGTGCTGGCATGGAAATGATAGTTTTTGCATGCTCATGCCAGGCCGGGACCTGCCGAGCTGTGTCTGTACAGCTGTCCCAGTGGAAGGCCTTCCCTCCCTGCCCAGGGCAGCTTGCAGCTTTCTTACCCCATCCACAGAGGGAAGTCCATGAGAAAGCAGAGGACAAGAGTGCTTGGGAAGGCTGGGCCATGCCCACAAAGCAGTTTTCTTTCTGCTTCCTGTTTTCCTGCCCTGCTATAACCATTTAGAGCTGACTTTTCCAAGGCAGAGGGCTCTGGGACACCTCTCTGCAGCTGATGATCAGTGGGAAGCCAGGGCTTTGGTCCTTCAGGGGCGAGGACTTTGGTGCTGGGCTTTTGCTCAAGTGGTTTTGCAGAGTTAGTCTTCAGGCTCTCAGCAGTATCTTCCAGCTGTGTGGCTGCTGTGGTGGGATTTGAGCAGTCGTGGCTTTCTGCAGCCTTGAGCCTTTGTGAAAACCCAGCTCTGTTGTGGGGAAGCCAGAAGAGAGAAAGTAGCTTCCCTTGGCATACACTCCAAGAAAAGATTGGAGGGGGAATAACCTTCTCCTGAGGAGGAGCATCCCTTGGGTTGGGCAAAACTGAAAAGTCTGTTAAAATGGGTTAAAGGTGAGTAAAATACAGGTTGTATAAGCTCTACTCTTGCCCAGACACAGTAGCTTAGATTTAGGGAAATGAAGGCTTTACGATTTTTATCCTCCTCTCTGTAGTCGTTCCTTTTCTCACACCCCACGAGTCTCCAGGGTCCATGGTTTCCATCCTAAATGCATGTTTGGCTTGTCTTACAGGGTGGCAAATGCTGGAGTATTGAACCCAGGGAAGGAGTGATCCCTGCCAAGGCTGAGGTTCCTGTGGTTGTCACGGCAAACCTGGATGACACAGGGAGATTTGAGGACAGCATGAAGCTGTTCGTTGAGAACAACCTTACCAGTGTCATCCCCATCCAGGCTGTGGGCATTGGCACCACAATTACCATCGACAAACCGTTTGCACCGGAGCTGAATTTGGAACCCCAGTTCAAGTAAGAGATCTCTTAACTCCTGCCTCTCCTCTTGGCTCAGCAAGGAGCAGTTATGCTGTAGGCTTTCAGGCTAAATCTTCTTCAGTGCTCGGGGCCCTGGCTCTGTTTCCCTGAAGCCAGAGTTTCCTTTAGAAACATGTTGTTATGCTCGGGTTCCTTAAATTATTAGAGAGACACCTCTGCCTGAATTAAGGGGCAAATGAGACCATATGCCAGTCAGTAGTATGGATTTTTATTTAACAGTAAATGTGAGGTAGAGAGAGACAGAAAGAAATGGGAAAAAGAGGGAAAGAGGGAGAGAAAGAATGACAAAGGGACAGATTAAGTAGAGAAAATATCACCTCTCCGTGTATTCCATTGGCATCCCATTGATCCTCTTCTTGTGGCCTTCCCGGAGGTGAAGTGTTCTCAAAGTGATGGTTTCAGTCTGGATCCATCAAGGGAAGCCCAGGATGGTGAGGGAAAAAGCCCATGGTGATGAAGGAAGTCCCTTGTGGTGAGGGAAGAGGTGGAAGTACTACATGACCAGTATAAACCTCTTTCTCTTTGCAATAACGACATCAGAAGGGCATCAGACATTATTTCTGGTCCACGTTAAGAGCGGGAAATGAAGATGATCTCCAAGCTATTAATGCCTCAGATTGCTCGCTGAGAGCACTTGACTGCAGGGAAATAGCAGCTCCCATGACCTTTTCCATCTCTGCTTCTCCTCCAGCCTCGTTCCCTGTGTTTTCCGGTTCAACGTCACAAACAAGGGGCGGAAGTTCCAGGAGCTGTTCTGGGGCACAGAAGGTTTCAGCACCTTTCGGCAGCGTCACTCTCTCCCTGCCCCCAGCGTCACCAAGGGCAAAAACGCTTCCCAGAGACCCACCAGCCCCGTATTTAAGCTGCAGCCACGGGGGATGTATCTGCAGCCAGGCCAGACTATGGAGCTGGTGCTGGAAGGCTTCTCCAGCACTGCCCAGGTGAGGTCCCTGCCAAGGGCTGAGCCTTCCCCATCAGGTCCCCTCCACTGGGGCTTCTCCTGCAGCCCCTTGACATTTGCCTGGGCAAATGAGCAAGGGCCTTCAAGACAGTGTTTAAGGCTACAGGTTTCCATGGCAGCACCAGTGGCTTTCCTTGCTGGCCACC